GCCTTACCGCATTAAATGCTGTCTCATCAAGGAAATGACCTAATTAAATGCTTGCTTTCTCAAGTTGTGTGTCAGTAAGGACATCCGGTCTTTTTGTCTCTAATGTGACACAATATGCCACGTGCCCCTTCCCCATTGGCTGTGTCGTCTGCCTTCCTGTGCCTTCTAACACCAATTGTGTAAGACGAGGTCATGATGACTAACCTAGCCTAGCCTAAGCTAGTGACCTGTACATCAATAGCCTCTGCGGGAGCAGAGAATGCCATCCTGGACGGCAGACCTCGAAACCGAGGGAGAGGTACATCTCGGAGCCAAGAGGGAGGTACATATAGGGACCGATGTACCATATCCCCGACCGAGGGATACGTGTCGATACGCAAACGTACTGGATGTCATTGATCCCTACGACCAGTACCTTGGGGGAGAGGGACTTGTGAACCTATGAGTACGTGTCGTGATCACAATAACAAAAATTTAGTGACACCGAAGACACGTGTCTTCATCTTGGAGTATTTTGAAAATATCTCATCAAAGAAGATAGTATTTACCAGAAAATTCTATTGGTCTTTCGGTTGCCCAAATTAAGAACATCAATTAATACCGACCGTCCTCATTAGAGTTTATGCCAATTAAAATAACAGTGAGTAGCTCGACAGTCTCCAATAAGTTATAACTGTGATAGTTCCATATTATTTAATAATATTATTAATTAAAAAGTAGAATAGACATTAGTTATTTGGGAGAATTACACTTAGGTCTCCTGAGGTTTGTCACTTAATAACTCAGACCTCTTGACATTCATAATATTACACACATACCCCATGAGATTTGTACGCACGTATCACTTAGACTCTTGTTGTAAATATATTCGTTAATAAATTATACTTAAACCCCCTGAAGTTTGTGGGTATATAATACTTAAACCATTTAAGTTTAAAGTATTATACTTAGACAAAAAATACTTCAATCAAAAATAAAATATAAAATATTTTAAATTTTACAACAAAAATTCATGTTCTATTATATCATTTATTGAAATAAAATCAAAAATAAAATTTCAATTTTTCTTAAAAAATTGTAATTAGATACAATTATAATGTTTATTAGAATTTAATTTACACGTTTAAACGATCAAATTAAAATACCAAATTATCTTAATTAAATCTTAAAGATATTGTCTTCATTACAGTTGGATTTTTTGTTTAATTTTTTAGTTTCTATTAGACAGTATAAATATATACTAACTATATATATATTTTTTAAAATAAATTTTTATTTTTGATTTTATTTCAATAAATGACATAATAGAACATGAATTTTGGATGTAAAATTCATGTTCTATTATGAATGACTTAGACCCATTGCTTTTTTTTTTTAGTTTTATTTCAATAGATAGTATAATTGTATACTAATTACGATTTTTTTTAAAAAATAATTAAATTTTTATTTTTAATTTTATTTCAATAAATGATACAATAAAACATGAATTTTAATAATAAAATTTAAAATATTTATATTTTGTATTTAATTGAAATATTTTTGGTCTAAGTATAATATTTTAAACTTAAATGGTCTAAGTATTATATATCCACAAACTTTAGGAGAGTCTAAGAATAATTTATTAACGGATATATTTACAACATGGGTCTAAGTGTTATGCGCGTACAAACTTCAAAGATCTGTGTGTAATATTTCAAATGTTAGGGGTCTGAGTGATTAAGTGACAAATTTTAGGGGTTCTGGGTGTAATTCTTTCTAATTATTTTGTTTAGGTTATTTTGGTCAAACAAAATTTTTTCACTTTTGTTGACATTTATAAGTAGTATAGATATATTAAAAAAATTAATTTATGAGTGTTTGAGAAAATTTTCCAACTTAAATTTTGTTTTCTCTTATTTATAATTATTTAATTGACATCTTCCAATTAAATTCTAACATGTGGCCTATGTAACCAGTTTCAACTTTTTAATAACAACCCCATATTTAAATTTCTCGTCATCTTTATTAACTACTTTACATTTAATTTTGTGTGTGTGTGAAATATCAATTTAATACTTCAATAAATAATGTCTAATAATGTTAGGATGGGATAGAAAAAGAAGTCGTAGTGGGGTGGCAGTAGAGGTGGCGATGACGTTGAAGAAATATTATAAATTTCGTGCATCACATGAGACGGCCGCTAGTATTTTTGAATCGAATAAGATTTTAATTGATCTAATTTTTATAATTTAATCAATATCCGAGTTAAATATTATATAAATTTGATTTTCATCTTGTATATGTATAACTAACACCCGCTTTAATTTCAATAGTGTGAAATATTGATTGGCAAGGAGCAAATCTTTGATAATATTTGTACAAAAAAACTGAATTTTAATCATCAAATCAGTGGCCATTTTTGCCGATGGTTCCATTATAAACTCGAATTTCAACTCAAGAATAAAATTTAATTCAAATAATTAATTTTGGAAAATTAGGTATGAATTCTAACTCAACTTTACCAAATTGCCAATCAATTCCATCGCATATTCACATACGTATTTGAATGATTCAAATTGAAGATTGATATATTTAACTTTGAAATCATGAACTATGGTATGATAGATTTGGATTTCAAGTTGAAATATCTGTCAAGAATACCAATCGATCACTTTTTATTTATTTATAATTTTGGTGAAATTTTATGCACCATTTGGTATGATGAAAAAATGGAAGGATAAAAAGTTAGAAGGATAAATAAAAAATCATGTTTAGTAAGGAAGGAATATAGGAAGGATGAAAAAGTGGATTGATTAACTTTCTTTCCAATTCACTAAAATTAATTCCTTCAAAATCGAAAGGAAAGTGGATGAAAAATTAATTATTTGTGTTGAGATGTATTTTACTTGTTTATATATCTTTTTATATATACATATATTATGTATGCATTAATTTCATATAAAAATATAATGATAAAATATATATATATGTATTTTAAAAAAAATTTAAAAAAAATTTTAAATTTTAAAATTTTAAATTTAAAAAATATATTTTTTTCCATCTTATTAGGGATGAAAATTTTCAACTCAACATGATAACACGACTTGAACTCGACACGAATTTTATGATACGAACTTGAAAATGACCTTACACATAAATAAGAAATATAAATGACTCATATCCAGTTCAATCCGTCAAACTCAAAAGTGACACTATTTTTTTTTTTAATTTTTTTAATTTTCTCGTTTGTATGATAACACAAAACAAACATGTTTAATATGGATTCAATTAAGTGAAAATAAAATATTATCGTTAAATTTTTTATTCAAAGTTTATATAGGTCAATACAAACACGAACACAACATGAAAATAAACAGATTAACTCGAAACGACACAATTAGTTAAATAAGTTGAGTTAGGTTTAACTAATGTTCAACACAAACCCACAATAATTCGACATGAAACTGACACGACACGACTCAATTATCATCCTTAATCTTAACTAGCACAAAAAAAAATTATTATTTTTATTTTTCATCCATCCTACAAAATATAAAAGAAGAAAAGTGTATCATTCTTACTTTCCTTCCTTGAAGGATAGAAATTGTATATCTCTTACTTTTCATCTTTCCTACGAAACGAAACAATAGTTCTCCGTTTGATATGATGGAAAAATGAAAAAATGAAAAGTTGAAGGAATAAATAAAACATCATGTTGGTAAGAAATGATGGAAAAATAGATGGATTAACTTTCCTTTTAAGTTTTAACTCACTAAAATCAATCCCTCCAAAATCGGAAGGAAAATTAATGAAAAATTAATTATTTGTGTTGAGATGTATCTTATTTGTCTATATCTATATATATATATATATATATATATATATATATATATATATATATATATATTAAAAAAAATACAAAAAAAATAAATTAAATTTTAATTTTAATTTTAAAATATTTTTTTCATCTTAACTAGGAGTAAAATTTTTTGACTCAACACGATAACACGACTCAAACTCAATACAAATTTTATGACACAAACTTGTCGAATATAAAAATGACCTGACACCCGAACAAGAAATATAAAAAACTCATAATTTTATAATTTAACAAAAATCTGACACGACACGACTTGATTGTTACCCCTAATCTTAGTCAGTACAAACAAAAAAAAAATTATTCATTTTTATTTTCTATCCATCCAATCAAATACAAATGAAAGAAAGTATATTATTCCTATTTTTCATCTTTGAAAGATAGAAATTATATCCCTCATATTTTTCATCCTTCTTATATTCAATCTTTTCTACCAATCGAAACATAGTAGTTAATAATACCGCTCGATAATGTATATGAGTAACCGTTCATCGCCGTATTATTTGACCAGAAAAATTGTTTAATGCGAAAAACTTGCTTTGCTCTCCAGAATTATGATTTTGTCCTAAGAAAAATTAAAGCTGAAAATTCCCAAACAAAAACATAATTACAAACATTAAACTCTTGCAAGAAACCAATTCCTCAAAAAAGATAAAAAACACTAGTACAAGAAAGTATCATCACAGATAGATACCCACATTACCCACCCAGAAAAAAAGAGATGATTTCAGTTAACATTGGATGCTTGTTCAATGTTTTTTTTTCCCAGGCAAGTAAGAAAAATTTAACCGAAACGAAGATACATGTAAACAAAGGATGCTTACTCAATGTTAAGACATATAGTTTGTACCAGATGTGTGACTACAGTTTCTAAGATGAACGATTCCCACTCGGGGCCTAAATTAAAACCTGGGGAATGTAACAGTTGTTTGTTCCTATGCATAAACACAATGAGGACATGATAAGAGACGATAGAAAATCTCACTCCAAAAATCGGCTGAACTAAGATACTGACGTAACGGATCACTGATAAATTGTAGCAGAAACATCCTAGAGGAAGGACATAGTTACAAAGAGCAGTATGAACAATGAAGGAAAATGTATCATAGTATTAGATCTATAAACACTAATGCTGATCAAGGGGGATCTACAAGTATAGTGTGAAAGAACAGTGTTAGTGGCACATGGGGCACTTGCTATCTGCACATCAAGGCTTCATCTGTACATTGCAGTTAACAATTATTGTAAACCTGTACATGTTGCAATTCAGTATGAAATTGAGGCTAAGAACTTCTGGTCCTCCTTTGCTGTGCTGGCAGCTTCCCCAAACCATAAGTGGTTTCATCCCTGATAGTGTGTCTAGCTGGTTATCCCAACTCTCTGCCAAACACTTTCGAAACCTGGAGGAATGTCACTGCATGACTCCATTCCAACATCTAGTGTAGCCCGTTGAAGAGTAGAATCCGAGGTGATTGGAGTAGCTGGTTCTTCCTTATGATGTTCACTGCCCCTCTTCAATGACTTCTGTGAAATTGCGATATCAACTGGTCCCACATTTTCACCACCTAGCATGTCAATTTCCATGTCAATCACCTGACTGTCATCCGACTCATCCCCTTCAACATGACTGCCATGGACACCATTTGAAGGATGAACTAAGAACGTGAATTTCATATTATCCATGCCAACAGCATCATCCTTTTTCACATGGTGAAACACTCCCCATAGGAAGTATTTCCCATTCCATCCTGTAGAAAATCCACAGTGGCAAACCCACGTCATCATCATGAAGACAACATAAAAGCACACCCCTCCCCTTTTTTAAGACATGTCATAGACACAGTTCACCTTGCATAAAAAATAAAAGACAAAATAGACATGTATTTGATAGAGACTTGAAGACCCACTTTGAGAATCCATATCTAGAAGTCTAGATGTGAGTACGAACAGCTCGACATCATTCATGATGTTTCTCATGACTAAATCTTGATGTCCCAAGAACTCCAGGAGGGAGATGTAGCTCTCATATCTGTAACATGACAGAGATAGTAATTCAAAATTAAAAGCCATCAGTTAAATAAAATACTTTCTGTTGCCGAAGAGCACGCTGCAAAAACATACCTCCCACTGGGGAAAAAATATAGTCCTATGTCCTCTTTGTCTGGACAGTCATCCTGGAATAAATCTGTCCAGAGATTGATACGTGGAACCAGCTCAAACTGAAGAACTTCAGGCATTTTCTTCGAGAACTCATAGACCTTACAACGAACTCTGGAAGGAGGATGGGCCTGGATTCCATCACTTAGTTCCCCTTGTTTGAGATTATCAGTAAGTTTGAATCTTCCCCTACAAAATGAAAACATTCATATAATCAAACACACAATGGTTCTGTGATTTTAGCAATTCAAAGACAGGAAATTCTAACTGCAATATTATGTTTCATCAGATACATTAGCTGCATAATTAGAGAGCATGCTTGAAGTAGAAAAATGATTCTTTCTGAAGACTTCAAAGGTTAACTGAAATACATACCAATAGATTTTATCGGAAAGTCTGATAAAAACCAAGGATACAAATAAATAAAAAAGGAATGCAAACCCTAGGGGGCTTATGTACTAGCTTTATACATGTTGATAAATCTACTTGAGAATTTGATAAAAGATTTAGTGAAAGGAATTCCACATCATCACTCATAATAGGTCGACAGTTAGCAGCCAAAGATAGAAAAATATGACAATACAGCAAAACAATTCCACTGTGACAAAAATAAGACTTGAGTGTTTAATAACACAATTTAAACCAAGACAAAGCGTTTTCTTTGTAAAAATTTATCTGTATAGTCGAGGAAAATATCGCATCGAATGTAATGTAACTAAAAAATTTTGTTTACCCATTTCAAAATTGAAGAGTACATACCGTTATATCTCATCTTACACAATACAAAACCTTTTTCTAGTGACAGGTGTTAGTACTTTCTCTTTAACATACTAGCCAAAGGGAAACAATATTACAGGCTCCAATCGGAGACATGGCAACTTGGTCAAATGAGCATTCCAACAAGGTAAAAATGCAACCGCAACAGACACCTAGAAGATAAAAAAACATTAGTGAAACAATGACATCAATGGCCAGTTTCTGCAACCGACTGTCTGCACAATTGAAGAGATTAATATGAAAGGTGTAAATGGAAAAGAGAAACATATACTTCATTTCCCCTCATTTTCACTTTAAAAAAGCCATCATGATGGCGATTTAAACTTGCAGTGCAGTCATATTTGGCCAGACCATATGAAGTTTGTGGCTGATTCAGAGGGAAGTTTTTCTGAAAAACTGGTGGAATATTGTCCTTTTGTGTAGCCCACACAGATGGACCATTGCTGATAACTTTTGAAAGAAAAGAGTACAGATAGTCACGTGGTTGACAAAAGAATAGGTTACTTACTTCCAGGAGGCATCTAGAGCAGGATCACTTGGAAGAAATTTCTCGACTTTAGAATGAATATTCATCAAATTCCCATTTGGAGATTCAGAAGTCCTTCTATCCACCTTAGTGCAAACACCATCATCACCTGAGAAAGTAGATATTCTTGATTAAACAAAATGACTGTGAAATAACAATAATTCATTTTGTATACTGTGTGAAAACATCATCAGTTTATCACCAAAAATGAGAGGACATGTCTGGATATAATGATGATCATAGTGCTTCATGTATTTACAAGCTTTTATCCACCACTCTCAACAATAAGGAATGTTTTTTTGCGTAACAAGTTGAATATATTGCCAGTCCTTTATGTTCATTGACAAGAAAAAAGTCCATCCTAATTGAAGTGTGTATTCGCAGATGGCAGGCATAACTAGAAGGCAAAAACAGGTCAAAGAGAGGTAGAATAGGAAATTGGTCTTGCCTGAAATAAGAAAAGGTGGGCAATTCCTGGATGGCGAAGATGTAAGCGACGCTTTACTCATTGAATTATGCACTCTGGTATTGATGGTTTCAATTTCTTCAGCAGGATTTAGGGTATCCACAGGCTGATTTTTGTATATGTGTGCCTTTGAATGAGCTACAACTGCATCTTTTCCTGAAACAGAGATCACAAAATCAACCAGTTGAACGTTACAATAAAAGTAACAAAACTAGGCATTCGTTCAAACAAATGCAGCAGTTTTAATATTTGAATGAGACCTCCTAAAATAAACAGTTCAAACAACACCTCCCAAGGGAACCCAAATCTGATCATACAAAACCCTAGAACAAAAAATCCTGAAATTAAACCTCCAATAATGCTCAAGAATAGACAGGACCTAAAAAGTTAGCTAGCTAAAAAGTTAGAACAAAAACTCCTGAAATTAAACCTCCAATATGCTAGCTGAATCTTATTTTCGTCCAGTAAACATAATATGCTCAAAACTGTTGGCAAAAAAAAAAAGCCGCAACATTATTACCTTCTAGTTGTTTTGGTGATTGCATTACTTGAGGCTGAACCATCGAATTGGTTTGGAAATTGACACATCCGGGATGCCTCAAAAATCCAGAAGGTGCGAAACTAGGATTTGCTCTGATCTTCGGCGACAATAACTTTGGAGGGATAGCTTTGAGTTTCATGGAAGCCATGCCCAACATTGACGTCATCATTTTTGATGAACCAGGGCTTGAGCACCGTTTATTCTTTTCAGGGTATTCACATTTCTTCGCTCCTGAAGATAGCATGATGGCCAGTTCAACAGGGAGATATTTAACTTTCCCTTTCTCAACCTTCTTTTCCCAGTCAATGCAACCTTTGCTTGAATCATTAGAAAGTTTGTCGAGACCAGCAGAAAATGCATTACCATAACCTGCTTTAGAGGATTTTGACAGTGAAGCCATAGGCAAGTCCCCCTTGATGTCAGATGGTGGCGAAATTCTCATATTGTTCAATGTACATGCTTCACAATGCCAACCTGAGGGGGCATGCTCATAATAGGTTCTCATGCAATAACTGAAAAAGGAGACAAATGGCAACATGTTCTCACGATGTTTAGAATAATGACAAAATCATATATAACAAATGAAATTTGGATGAGTCAAGCTTAGATCTCCACATAAACTAAGTCATTGGAATGGGAATTAGGACCAGCCATCACATCCTTTTACAAATGAACTGTATACACCAAATCTACCATGATTGGAGCATTATACAAATTATGATTTCATAAGATAAAACAGAAAGAAAATCATAAAGCAGAATTGATGAAGAACCTCCACTTTCATCAAAATCTTCACAAAGAATATTAAAAATCAACCATAGAAACCAAAAAAAGTCAGGGAAATGCAAATACAATTTTTTTTCCAAAAGGGATAAGGCACCACAGGGGTGCAACCTCAAAATTCACAGCTGCATTAACACAAGCACAAAAAATGAAAAAGAAAGAAATCAGAACACACACACAAGGGAGAGAGATTCTACCAATGCTCACAGTTGATTTTGCACAGAGAACAAGTAGCAATTGCATCCACAACCCCAATGTCACCACATACATCACATTTCTCATCCTGCAAAATGGAAAATATGACATCAGGATCCCAAACATAATTATCTTTCAAAAGTTACCCTATTCTTCAAACTCAAAGCAAATATTGTTCTACTGTGCTATATACTCAATATAGTACGGCTGTTAACATGTATCCAATAACAGAATACTTCAATAGACAGCAAATAAATCTTAGTGGCCCAGACAGACTGAGCAATGAACAGTTACTCTCAGCAGTCTGTTCTTTGAGGTAAAAAAATACCAAACACCAAGTTGGAAATTGAAACAACGATTCGGAAGTTGTGTACTTATCAATTTGACCAATGGTCCCAAAATGGTGACCAGCAAGATACATACTACAAAATGTTAAATCCACAACTCAGACATATAAGAAGCACAGCAAATCAACAAGAAAAACGATTTTATATAAACATGACTCCAGCACAATGAACAAAAATTATAAGTAATCACACAGTTTTTTAATCTTTCCAATTCCAACATACATTCGTGTTTCCAAACTTTTTGACGTGATATCCAAGACCAAATTGTTTGTCAATATTTTCCGACTGGGTAGGGCCATAGATATGTAGGTTGGCTTTGAAATACACATAATAACTACTGACAATACAACACTACCCAGTTAAAATAAGACAGTAAATACAATGCAAACTACAACATTAGGCACAATAAAGAACATTCCATCCAAGCAACCCAAAAGACCGCGAAAACAGGAAAAAAAGAGATTGACAAATGAAAGAAACAGAAGTATAATAATAACAAAAGAACCAAAACAGAGAACAACCTCATTAAAAGAAGCTAAATAAGCAAATTCATTTTGACCCATCTTATTTTAATAAGCTCTAACAAAAAATTATACTAATAGTTTAACAAATAAAAAATTAATAAACGAATAAAAAGGTAAATTATAGCAAAAAAACAAAATCAAACATTCAGAAGCAAACTCTAGTCCTCAAGACCCATTGCGCCAAAATACACTTTTACAGAATCTATTCAAAAAATACCGCACAACTAAACAATCAACCCAAAAAAGCTTCAATCCAACTCACTTGCCTTTCACTAACCCTAGAAAGACAAAAAAAAATTATTTGTCACCAATGTCCCACATAAAAACAAAATAAAGAAAAAAACACATTTCACCATTAAAAATGTCACGTATAAGCACAAAAATGTTCAAATCTATAGTATAAAATACAAAGATAAGCCCCAATCAAACACTATACCTCTTGTACTACAATAAAAAATACATACCCATTTCAACCAAGTCTGGTCTTAACTTCTTAAACAAGTAAATTCTTAAACAAGTAAACAAATTTATAAACATGAAAGTGTTCCTATAAAGCTGAATGAGAACGAAAGTGGAGGGTTTTAAGTAGGGTTTTAACCTTGTGGGCCTCGTCCATTGGGTCCGGCATTATGGTCGGTTACTTTCTCGAAGGATGTGTGAGGCCAATAACTAGGGAGAGATAGAGAGAGAGCTTAGAGAAGGGTTGATGAAGCGACAAGACGAGGAGGACGGACCAGAGAGGGTCACTCGGTACAGGTACCAGCTATTTACTGTACATAAAAGGCCAGAGAGAGAGAGAGAGAGAGAGAGAGAGAGAGTGTTGGGGTTATCGATTGTTTATAATAATCTGAATAAAATGGAATGTTTTTAGTTGGGTATTAGTTAAAATAAACAATTTTTATTAGGGAAGGGGTGAGCGTAGGCTCATAATCTTACTGTAAGGTCTCCCTAGTCTTGCTTGCCCCCACTAGAGTTGGATTAGGGTGGTTGGTCCACTATATAAGAATTTGAATGTTTTATCCGAGGTTTGTGTTTGTGTTAATGTTTTTACACATACAATAGTTTGGTAGAGTTAAAACATATTTTTCTGTCCCTAGATGATACAATAAGACTTTAGTTTTGATGATACCTCAAATAAGTTCTATCTGTGACCTCAGGTTAGGAGGTCAGATCAAGAGATCAGAAAAGACACGAAAAACTCTAAGAACTAGGGGTAGAGCTCCCCTTAGGGAGATCGTGACAGGACTAACCAGGAAACAACTGGATGACTGCAGAAATTGAGCTCAATGCATGAAACTCTCAACCAACCGAGATTATCTCCTAAAATCAAAAAGGATCTCATGAATAATTGACAAAGATCTCGGCTGAAATCCTACATATTAAGGAGTAGCCTTATAAATATTATGTAACGCCTCATCGAGAAAGGAGAGGCCCCTAGAAAAACCCTAATTAGATGATGCATTGTACTGTAATACATTGGAGAAATTAAGAGAAAAAATAGAGGAGTAAGAGCATCCATTAAATAGTGGATTAGCCGAGCTCCAAAGTCGGTGAACCACTATATTCTTACTGTGCAAATTTCCCTGCCTCTAAGAAACACTTCATCTCTGTCATTATGAAGTTGGCAGCCTAGATTCACCTTTGGTCCCACGCACTCTGTTCGCCCACGTTAGTTTGCACCATTAGTTTGGCGCCGTCTGTGGGAATGACTGTTCTTACTACAAATAAGCTGATTTCTCAGTGATTGATGGTATCAACACGAAACATGAGCAGAAGCCACACAAACTCACCCCCTGATACAGGACCAACAGGGAGCCACCAATGGCAGACAGCCCGAGAATGTCCCAAAAATTGATCCTCCCATGGAGAATTCCCTCATGAATAACGAGATGAAGGTTCTTCGCCTCTTCAATCAGCGCTTGATAAATCAAAATGAAGAGCTCTTAAAGCTCCTAAAACACTCACAAGAGGCACGTCCAGCCCAAGAAGGTCAGAACAGTCCCCGTCACAAGGATCAACAACACTTTGATCCACTCAGAGAAGACAACGGAGGAGGGGAGAACAACCAGACCTTGGGGCAAGTTCCCCAACTACCCCCTAGGAATGGCCACAATGAGGAAGTACAAACTCAAAACCATGAAGGTGAAAAGAATGATGTCTTCCCGTATCAGTAGGAGAGAAGGGAACAATATTGGGAGCAACGCTTCAAGGGCATCCAACAGGAGCTCAGCCACATAAAGGAAGCGGTCAGAAGTAAAGTTTCAGTTACAATGGACGCCTTGGTGCAGCAGACTGAATCTCCATTCACGTCTGGGGTGTTGCATTTTTCCCTCACTCAAAGTTCAGGATGCCATAGATAGAGTCCTTTGATGGAACCAGGGACCTCATGAACCACCTCAATACTTATAAGAACCAAATGGAGTTGCACGAGGATCAGGACCCCATACGCTGTCGAGTCTTTGCCATCACTTTGAAGGGTTCAACCTTGGCATGGTTTAACAGGCTCCCCCGGCCTTAATTACTTCTTTCAAAGAACTTTCCATTTCCATCGTATCCCACTTCATAGGGGCTCAGACCTACAGAAAGCCGAGCTATCACTTTTTGAATGTGAAACAGGGACCACAAGAAAACCTCAGGTCTTATGTCCAAAGATTTAATTCAAAATCGTTAAAGGTGGATGTCCCAGACGAAAAGTTCACCATCACTGCCTTCATAGCTGGTCTAGAGGTGCAATCTAAAGATTTGATGTTCTCCATATCAAAAAATCCCCAAGCAAGCATGGTCGAGGTACTTGCCAAAGCAGATAAATATATAAATGGCGAAGAAGCTCTTCTTTCTAAGGTAGGGAGCTCTTTCACACATAGAGATAAAGGAAAGGAAGAGAAAAAGAGGAACCGAAGTCCCAGGAGAGAGAGGAAAAGAAACAGATCTCCAAGAAGAGATAGATCTCCTAGAAGAGATAAAGAGCGATTCCCAAAAAGAAAGGGGAACGTTAAGGACCGCTTAGGACTTCCGTACCTTGAACTACAGCCGAGATATGCACCTCAGCAATATACTCCTCTCACTGCAACAGTATCTCAGATCCTATACGAGGTGCAGAACAAGAAATTCTTAAGATGGCCTCCATGAATGAAGACAGATCCAACTAAAAGAGACCCTACGAAGTATTACGAGTATCATAGGGATTATGGCCATCACACCGACGATTGCATTCAGTTAAAGAAAGAGATCGAGTTCTTGATCCAGAGGGGGCAATTACGACGATTTGTTGCCCATGACAACCAGAACAGGGCTCCACCACCACCGGCACCTTAACAACAAGCCCTCGCACAGCACCAGCAACCCTTTAGGGGAGATCAGAGTGATATCTGGAGGATTTGCTGGCGGTGGAGAATCCAGTGCAGCCAGGAAAGTACATCTGCGCAGGATCAAAGCTGACGAAGCGCTGGACGTGCACACCGTGACCAAAATACCTCGACTGAGCACAACCATCACTTTTTTGGATTCAGACTTGGAAGGCTTTCAGTATCCCCATGATGATCCGTTGGTGGTAAGAGCCATTGTGGCTAACCAAACGGTTCATCGAGTTCTAATTGACAATGAGAGGTAGACCGACATCATTTTCGCCTCTGTTTTCGACAAAATGGGTATAAGAAGAGAGAAGCTTGAGCCAGTAAGTCCTCACTTAATAGGATTCTCAGGGGAGAGGGTACTACCCCTAGGATCCATCCAACTCGTACTCACTATGGGGGACCCTCCTTGTCAAGCCACCACCACTATGAAATTCTGAGTGGTTGACGCCCCTTCTGCGTACAATATGCTACTTGGGAGACCATCCCTCAACGCAATGAAGGTTATCCCCTCAGCAGATCACTTGGTCGTAAAGTTTCCTACGGAAAATGGAGTTGGAATGGTTCGAGGAGACCAGGGAATAGCTACGGAGTGCTACATGGCCTCGGTGAAGCAGAAAAAGGTTGAAAATATCCAACTAAATGAGCTTGACATGAGGGACGAGCTGGACACTAGGCCCATGCCATCAAAAGAACTAGAGCTAAAGCTAGTCCAGCTCGATGAAGAGCCTAAACATATTGTTTACATGTGATCTAAGTTGAGCAGAGAAATGAAAAACCTACTCACTCAGTTCCTAAGGAAGAACATGAGAGTGTTCGCTTGGAAGCAAGAGGACATGGAAGGTATTGAACCCTTAATCATCACACACAAGCTAAGCGTGAATCCCATTTTCAAACCTGTCAAACAGAAGTGGATAAGTTTTGCTCCAGAACGCCAGAGGGCAATTAACGAGGAGGTTAGTAAACTCCTCCACGCCAAAGCCATCAGAGAGGTGAATTACCCTACCTGGTTAGCGAATGTGGTGCTGGTCAAGAAGACCAATGGGAAATGGCGGCTCTGCATTGATTTCACCGATCTCAATCGAGCATGCTCTAATGACAGCTTTTCCTTACCTCGAATCGACTTGATCGTGGATGCAACTGCTGGGCATGAGCTCCTCAGCTTTATGGATGCTTTCTCGGGTTATAATCAGATCAGGATGGACCCAGCAAACCAGGAGAAGACATCAGTTGTGACTGAAAAGGGAACTTACTGCTACCAGGTCATGCCTTTTGGATTGAAGAATGCTGGAGCCACCTATCAGCGCCTAGTGAATAGAATGTTCCAGAAGCAAATTGGCACATCCATGGAGGTCTATATCAATGACATGTTGATAAAATCACTGAGGGCAGAGCTGCACGTCGAGCACTTAGCAGAATCATTCCAAATCCTCAAGGAGTACAAGATGAAACTCAACCCTGCAAAGTGTGCCTTTGGGGTATCAGCGGGAAGTTTCTGGGATTCATAGTCAACAGCAGAGGAATCGAGGCTAACTCAGAAAAGATTAAGGCAGTTTTGGATATGCGACCATCGTCCAACATCAGGGAGGTCCAACGCCTGACAGGAAGGATAGCTGCCTTGAGTCGTTTGGTATCTAAATCAAGTGACAAGTGCCAACCTTTCTTTCAAATCTTGAAAAAGGAAATTTAGTGGGACACCCGGTGTGAGGAAGTGTTCAAAGCACTGAAGGAGTACCTAAACTCTCCCCCTGTCCTAGTAAGCCCCTTAGAAGGGGAGGTGTTTACTCTTTATTTATCTGTCTCGGATTTCTCAACCAGCGTAGCACTAGTTAGAGAGCGAGATAGAACTCAGCAACCAGTTTACTACTGTAGAAGAGCTTTGAGGGAGGCAAAAAAGAAATATCCAAATATGAAAAAACTAGTTTTGGCCCTGGTGACTACGGCTAGGAGACTTAGACCATATTTCTAAGCTCATACTATAGAGGTTCTAACATATCAGCCAATGAAGCAAGTGTTGCATAAACCAGAGTCTGTAGGAAGGCTAGTTAAGTGGGCAATAGAGCTCAGCGAACTTGATATTAGGTATAAGCCAAGGACAGTAATTATAGGGCAAGTCTTGGTAGATTTCATTGCAGAATTCACCACAATAACACCCGCGGAAGCCACACTACTAATACCTGACCTTCCTGTATGGAAACTTTTGGTAGACGGAGCTGCCAATGCCCAAGGAAGCGGCGCAGGATTGATCCTGACCTCTCCAGATGGAGTAGACGTGGAATACACCCTTAGGTTTGGGTTTAAGATTTCAAACAATGAGGCCGAATATGAAGCTGTCATTGTTGGGCTCAACCTTGCTCATTCAATGGAGGTAGAGCAACTAGAGATCAGCAGCGATTTCCAGCTTGTCGTGAAATAAATAGAGGAGTCATACGAGGCTAAGGGTAAGAAAATGA